TTCTCATATTTGGCATACAACCGATGCTCCCGCAAAATCTGTAAAACAATACTTAAATGGATCTCGTGTTTCTCCCGAGATCGTGAATACACAAGAATGTCATCCACGAAAACTACCACAAACTGGTCCAAGTAATCGTGAAAGATGCGGTTCATTAAGTCCATGAATGCCGCTGGAGCATTAGTCAAGCCAAAAGGCATAACAAGAAACTCATAGTGTCCATACCGTGTACGGAATGCTGTTTTCGGGATATCCTCATCCCTAACCCGCAACTGATAATAGCCAGACCTCAAGTCAATCTTAGAAAAACAACTGGCTCCCCTCAACTGATCAAATAAATCATCTATCCTTGGCAAAGGATACTTGTTCTTGATGGTGGCGCGATTCAACTTCCGATAATCGATGCACAACCTCAAAGAACCATCTTTCTTCTTAGCAAACAAGACCGGTGCGCCCTATGGTGACACACTCGGTCAGATGAAACCTTTCATCCTCAAATCATCAAGCTGTCTTTTTTATTCCTCCAATTCAACTGGTGCCATACGAAACGATGCCATAGAAATCGGCGCTGTACCTGGCATTAACTCAATAGAGAACACCACCTCTCGGTGTGGAGGCAACTCTGTCAAATCCTCCGGAAACACATCCAGAAAATCACGAACAACTGCAGGATAATATTCTTCCACAACATCATCCTCTTTGGCTATAAGGGTAGCCAAAAAGTAATCACCACGACTTCGTCCACGAATTCCATAAAATGATGAAATGTGGGAATCACTCCGATCTCCCACAAAAAAGAAACAGTCTCCCTCGGGAGTACAAACTGTAACCCTTCCTCTGAAACAGTCGATCGTGGCATGAAAAGAAGCTAACCAATCCATCCCGAGAATGACATCAAAGCTAGTCATTTCTAGGAGGATAAGGTCAAACACAAAAGTCCGTCCGGCTATCACAATGGAACAGTCCCTCACGACTCGGCTCAAAGACACTGAAACTCCAACTGACTTATCAACACATAACGCCCGATCCATAAAACTGACCTCTAACCCCGATGCAAGTGCAAATGATGATGAAATGAAAGAATGAGATGTACCAGAATCAAACAAAACACGGGCTCAAGAACCAAACACTGGAAATATACCTCGGAGAACTGAAGATCCAGGAGATGCATCAGTGGGTGCAAGGGCAAAGACACGCCCCTACGGTGCTTGTGCCTGTGAACTACTAATCTGAACACCAGACTGTTGTGCCGACACAGTAGGAGTATCCCTCCTAGCTGGTCGTGAACCCTGAGAAGATAAGGGAGGCTGTGGTGGTGGCGGCGGTGGTCTGAAACCTGATTGAACCGTAGCCGACTATAACGGCCTCTGTCGTGACCCTCTGCCACTAGTGGTGCCTGCTCTCTGACTCGGACAGTCCCGAATCAAATGGCCCTGCTGGCCACACCCATAACAAGCCTTCGGAGCTGAAGAAACTGAAGTCAATCTCATAGGACAACTGCACTTGTAATGCCCAGGCTGCTGACATTGAAAGCAAACAACTGCACTCCTATCAGACCCAGCTAGCAACGGAGTGGTAGGAGCAGATCGTACAGACTACTGTCCCTGAAACTGAGATGGACCGCCCCTGTTCCTTTTCCAAGAAGATCCTTCTGAAGATGGCCCTGCACCCCTCTTTTGCTTCAACTGCTCTCTTCTTGCATCCTTCTCTTTATTATCAGCTTCCAGCATCAAAGCCCTTTCCACTGCTTTAGAGTAAACCTTAATGAACTGTGCTGTGATCAACAGCCTCATCCGATAATTAAGACCAGAAACAAACTTCCGAGTCTTGTTAACTTCATCTCTCACCATTTCTGGAGCAAAGCGAGAAAGTGAAGTGAACTTGTTTTCATATTCTGCCACTGACATGCTCCCTTGGATAAGGTTATGAAACTGGTCTTGTAACTCCCATCTTTTGGAAAGCGGAAAGTACTTTTCATAAAACAATTCCTTGAACTTGTCCCAACTCATCTCTTCCACCTTATATCGACTCGTAACCGACTTCCACCATAATTTAGCATCCTTAGCAAACTTATAAGTAGCTAGGATGATCTTTAAATGATCCTCTGCCACATCCATAGAAGTCAATTGAGTTTCAACTTGCTCCATGTAGTCATCTGCTATCATTGGATCCGCACCGCCCTCAAACATAACCGGTATCAGCTAAGAAAACCCCTTAATAATCTTGAGACGCTTCTGAGCTGGCGTCTCCTCAACTTGAACTGTAGGTTGTGGTGCCGACTGCGACTGAGCAGCAATCGTTGCCCTCACGACATTTTGCAACAAACGATTAAACTCCAGTGCCACAGAACCTTCACTCACTTCTACGGGTGCTTCAACATTATCCCTTCTTGTGGGGACAGTTCTCGGGGGAATCAAGTCCCTAAGAAGTGTGTCCTCATCATTTAGCTCCTCCGGATTGGAGCTGGAGCTATCACCAACATCACCCCTAGTCGGTCTAGGGCCAACTTCCCTGATTTCCTCACGCCGTGACATCGTTCTATAAAACAAAGGAAAAAATTCAATAAAGATAACACTAAAATCCAACCGTGAACAACCCAACGCAAAAACATACTGTACAAACATTTAGCATGTAATACTATGCAATAAACACATTAATGTAAGCATATAAACACATAAGCACGTAAGTAAGTAAGCAGTTAAGCATGCTTTTTCACATAGCAAAACACTTTTCCAAACAAGGAAATAACAATGCAGATGACTTCCCAGACAACCCTAGGCAAGCTTCTACCCGTCGTCCTAATGGTATTCGAACCACAGCTCTGATACCAAATTTGTAACGACCCTAGCTAATGCCAAAATTTAAAAAAAATTCGGCATGACCTCCCCTAAAAAGGGGACTACAACCACCTGCTCAAATAAAAAAAAAAAAAAAAAAAAAAACGCAATGGCCCTTCCTGGCCTTCCAAAACACCTCCAACCTGTCCCAACACATAATAAAATTAATATACTCAAACATCACATCCATTCATTCATTATACCTCAACGTGGTTCATCTCATAATGGAACATCTACATATCGTTTAATCTAAATTATCATAATTACAGTCCCAAAATATAGTTACAATAATAAGAGTTTCACGAATCTCTATACCAAATATAACAAACTAAGATTTTACAAAAATATGGGACTTAATACAAAAATAGCAAAAAGAAGTCTTCTAATCCAAATTAGGCCTGTGGTGGAAAGTCATCCGCTACTTCTTTCCCGTTTCCTGAAAAAAATTATTAAATAATAGGGTGAGCATAAAGCTCAGTAGGTAGCACTTAAGACACGCATCTTGTGTCCTTGTGAATCAATACAAAGAATAGATTAATAGGAATGGGGATCATACAATATCGGGATAATACAACATTCCAATCAAACTCAAGTACAAACAATGCAATGCCATGAAATGCGAATGCATGCCGATGTCGCTCCCCGTTTTCACATTTAAAATCCATCTCTTTCAAACTGTTAATATAACCCGCCCTTTGGTGACCCCGCAGCGACACGAGAGGAGGATTGGCTAGTGTACCCGACCCTTGGTAACCCCGCGGCGTCATTATGGGGCCTAGCTAGCTCAACCACGCTAGGGCGACTCCCTAGTCCCCTCTAGGCTATATTAACACTCCGGCCCTTTGGTACCCCCGCGGCGACCGGGTTTTCATAAAACCATTTCGTAAAAACTCTTTCCCCAAAATTTCCCTTTTTGTTTCAAGCAAATTCTCCCATTTCATGCAAATCCAATGGTATGTACATGTATATATATCCCATGCTTTCAATATTATGGCATTTAGAATTTTACACCACATAATTAAGCATACATCATATTTAACATCTCTAAATGAATTATCAACACATTAAACATAACAAGACAACACAAAATTTTACACCACAAAATTAAGCATACATCATGTTCAACATTTCCAAATGAATTATCAAAACATTAAACACAACAAGACAACCTCTAAGCATGCTTTTCTACTCATATTCATAATCATGAATTTTCCTAAACTTCATTTATATAATCATTGAAACAATTAACTTCCAAATTAAACATGCTTGTCACAACAAGAGAGATATAATTCACAATGGAGCAAGAAAAACATGGATTAAGAGTCCCTACCTCTAAATTGAACAAAACCCTTGAAATTGGGTCCTTAAATTCGAGCTCTCAAAGAGGACCAAAAGCTGGAATTTCTGGTACTAGCACGTAGAGCTCGTCGTTTTGCCTCAAACGGCACCTAAATCCGCCAAGAATTGAGAGAGAAATCAAGGATTGAAGTTGAAAAAGAAAAAAGAAAAGAAAAAAAACAGAAGCAGCGAGGAGAGATTTAAGCTGCCCAAGAGAGAAAGCAAATTGGAATTAAATGGGTCTGTAATGACCCTTATAACTCAAGTGGGCTCCACAGTTGAAAAGTCATTATACTAGTTATATATATAGATAAGTCAAAAACTTTACATCGAATCTCCTTGGAGTCACTTCAGAGAGTTTTCTTGGTAATTGTCCAATGTGTAGTCCTGGGACGGTAGTAATTTATTGGGTGATCTAAGAAAATTCACACCACCATTGTCTACCAAAAGGGAAAATTAATCATAAAATAAATAAATAGGCTGTCATGCAGCATAAACCCGATTCTTTAGTGTAGCTCTGTCATAACTATTGTATCATTTTTCAACTTACTTACAACTGTTTTCAATACATTCCATTTACAGATCAACATACTTAAAAAAAAAAACGGCATTTACATCTATTTTGAACAAATTTGATTTACATTTCAACACACTTGTAAAACGCCACAGGAGAAAGCAAGGCACTATAGCAAATTCATGTTTATAGGTGGAGCAGCTAAAATTAAAAATGGCAATTGCCCAGCTCGATATTGGGCTACAATTTGGTTTGAGGCCCGTATTCGGACTCAATGTAGCCCACAACCGTGTCTATAATTTTTATTTACGACAACCAGATCAAAAAGCCCTAAATATTCCGATTCTGTTATCAGTTGTCTTCTTCTCCAAGTGTGTCTTACACAATTTCAATTCGTGGATAAAAATGGCTTTGACGAACTTCATTCTGACAGTGGCCGGAGTGAGCGCGGTGATACTTTTGCTGAGGAGCGACGTGAAACAGAGTGCTACGATCTTCAAGAGAAACGTTCGTCAGATTCGCCACTGGCTTGAAGAAGAGTCTGCCTCTGCCGTCAAGTATCTTCCTTTTCCATCTCCTAATCTTTCTTGTGCTCATATCTATGTGTATGAGTGTGTGCGCGTCTATATATAAATATATGTGTGTTTATTTTGAAGTTGGATATTGTTGATCTGGTATTGATTATCTGTTATGGTTCAGTTTCAGTTATTTAAATTTCAAACTGTTTATCATTATCATTGTACAATTCATACAAGAATACAATTTTGCATTCATTTTGTTTTTGTTGCCAGTGTTATATATATATAGTTTCACCAAATCTCTTAATGTATCCAATTGTGCATACAGTATATGCATGCTGCGCCTTGCGTTAAAGCCCGTAAAATTGGGGCCTTTACCAGTGAGCCAGAAAGGCAGTTTTTTTCCTGCCATTTTAGTGTTGATTTAGTTTACGCGAAAAGCATGACTATTTTCTTGTTCTGAGTATTTCTTTTACTGCCTTCAAGGAATGGTGTCGAAAAACATGTTAAAAATGCATACTCAAGGTACTGATATTTCTCATGCATAAGGCGGTCTAATTGGTGCTACCATGTTCTTTATTTATTCAGGGAAACAGAATTTGATGTTTATATTTGTTGAAGGAAATATCATTGCATTAATAGTACATATGCCAGAAATAAGAGAAAATGGTAGGTTAATAAAGTTTGGAGGACAGAAAATAAGTCATCTATTTCTATGTTCTAGGCTTGATTCTTGGTAAAGTGAAAAGATTGCTTCAACATTTGATGATTTTACGGACCTCTGACAATTCAACTTATCATGTATTTGGGATTTCCTGGTGGGAAAGGAAATTTTGGATCACGCTAAATAGTTGTGGTAATCTGATAATTCTTGCTCAGTGAAGAAAATTACTTGTGAAAAAGTTAAATATAGAAGTATCTGGTCTAGAAGGTGGTTTCACTAAATCAATTTATGGAATTGTGAATATATGGCTGCAGTTTATCCCCTTGCTTCAGTTGTGTTGCAAGAATTTTTACTCAGCATTTTTTTCCCAATAAGTGCATCTTTCACCAGTGTTTCATTCAATTTTTATTATTTCATGCAAGCCATCTGCATAAATTTAACTTGTGTCGCTCTTTTAGGGAAATGGAGAAGGCGAAACCCAAGGAGTTGCCCAAGAAAGATATTCCTAAAAATGACTAGAAAAAGGTGATTTTTCTCAGGCCCAGGGTTCATATAATAAAAATGCACATTCTTCCACTTTATTTCGTATTTGATTGTCTGTCCTGTTTAAAATTTTGATTGATGTCTTTTTTGCTACTTCAACATTAATATTTGTTTTGTTTCCCTTTGCACATTAGTTAGTATATGTAATGTGCCTAGAAGACAGATATTCCTCCTTTTGTGAAGGCTTTTGTTCATTTTTGACACCATAGCAAATATATGTAGTATTTTGAGGGCAAAATTAACAAGATATTATAACTATTTGTGAACTAAATCAATGTGCTTGCACATGATGCACCTTCACCCTTGAAGCTATGCTTGCATCTACAAACCCAAATTGTATCTCTCTATCAAGAACACCTTGCAATAACAACACTGCTAGCATCCGTTAAAAATAAGTAAAACTGTTTAGAGAAAACCATCCCTCAAACATTCATCTTCTCTCTGACAACTAATTGAACCGAATAAAATTCTTTTGCGGAGGAATTGATGTTGGTCAAAACCTCTACTGAACAGCATCTCAGTCCATGCTACTAAACTTAACCTGGTTGGTTGACAAATACCACCTCATAAGCAACCGTCGTTAGTGAATCTCACCCATCTTTCTTTGTGAGCTAGTAGAGCGACCACCAGGTTCAACACATTCTCTGTCTTATTTGCTAGGAGCTGACTGAAACGTTGCTTTCTGACATGGCCACTTGTGCTAGTTTGAGTCAACATCATCATCAATTCTAATTATGAGCGAGACTGCCATCCCCAAATGTTTCTCCTGTAACTTCCTCCAAACAGCAATTCTGATGCAGGATCTTCATGCCATCAATCATCCTCAATGTATGGGGCGTTTTTTGGAGGAAGCAATCTGTTACCGAGCCATCTTGTTGGGAATAACAAGAGCATCTCTTAATAATCGAAGTTTAAAATGTTCCCACTTTCACTTTCTTTAAACAACATTGTTGGAGCTAGATTTTCATGGCATGAACAACTCAAATTCAACAAAGGAATAAACCCATTTGCATTACCTTGATGAACACATGCTGAATCACTGTGCATCCTTGTGCGCCTAACCCTTTTTTTTTCGTAGCGAGGAACTGTTCCAACCAGGCACCCTTTGAACTCTTGACTACAACATAAGCTTCGGATATCCGCAATCACCCGCAAACCATGGGTTTCGCTTAAACTAGGACTTGAACTTGAAGCCTCAAGGTAGTAACCCTGAGACCCTGCCATCTGAGCAATCTTGACCAATTTTGTCCACCTAACTTCACTAAACCTAAACCCAAATCAAAACACAAATTTAAACAAAGAAGTTTTGGGGCTTCTTTCATTCAAATTTTCAGGTTTGATAAAATTTGAGATGGAGAAAGGACCAAGGGAGACAATACCATTTAAGTGCATGTGCCATGATCTCAAGCTAGAGGAGAGAGAGGAGGGTAGGATAGGAACAGAGAACATTGAAGGATAAATTATGAAGTACATCAGATATGGTTTTGGAGACTTCTCAAACAAAAACTTTATACAATTGTGGGATGTATATTGGGATTTCATAGTGGTAGGGAAAGAATTTTGAGTGAAAGTAAATGATTGTAGTAATCTGATATATTTATTACTCACATTACATAATTTAATTGTGTAAAAAGAAAGAAATATATATGCTCTAGAAGGTGGTTTGACCGGATCCATTGTCATATGGGATGTCATGAACAATTGACGCTGCCGTTTGTCCAATTTGTTTCCGTTATATTGCAAGAATCTCTATTCTGCAGTTCTTTGTTTGTGTGGAATTACTTGCATATTATACCTGTGTTTCATTCATGTTTCTGGTTTATGCAAGCTATATGCAGAATCTAATTTGTGGTGGATTTTTCTCAGGGAAATGGAGAAGGCAAAAAACCGAAGGAGTTATTATTTTTCCTCAGGATGGGAGTTAATATGGTAGAACTGCACACTCTTCCATTTTATTTTAGATTTGACCATCTATTTTGTATAAAGTTCTGATGGATTTCAATTTTTAAACATCTCTGTTTTGTTTCTCTTAGCTCATTAGTTGGTATTTCATATTAAGCTATGTGATATGTCGAGAAGAAAGTTACACCTTTGTTTGGTGAAGGCTTTTGTTCATTTTGACACTGTAGCATATATCAATAAGATTTTGAGTGCAGAATGACCTAGATCGTTGGAATGCACCTTATGCCGTGTGCAAAAGAACATAATGTATATGTATACAATCTAGAGCTACAATTCTTGTCATAATGTCATCATTAGTTCTTTTTTTCAGAAAAGCGATAATTTTCTCTGCCAGGAATGACATTTACCCATGAATGTAACCTTGCATCCCTTGAAACCCAAAAGATGAATTATCCTCTCTGGAAGTCCCAGTGATAAACAACACTGTTGACATCCATTACAGAATCAAGTGTTTAGGGAAATTTGCACAGTGACCCTTGAGCATTCCTCTTCCTGAAAACTAAACTGCACCAAATAAAACTCCATTCCTGAAGCCAATTGATGGACATTCCTTGAACATTCCTCTTTCTGACAGCTAAACTGCACCATACAAACTCCATTCCTGAAGCCAATTGATGAACATTCCTCTTTCTGACAGCTAAACTACACGAAATAAACCTCCATTCCTTGAGCATTCTTCTAACATAAACTGCAACAAATAAATAAACCAACTTGACTTTTATATCACAATAGTCACATTGTTATTAGCATACTCGTTTAGAGTTAGGGATGGGATGGATGAGACGAAGTACTAGCTTGTGCTAGATCCAACGTATTGATCCTTTAATCCGCGCCCAGTTTAAGATCTAAGGAATTTAAGAAATCTCAACTAGCCATCTTACAAGAAGTCCCTCCTTATGCACAGGGAGGCAAGTATTGTTCTATCTGTGCAACGTGACATCGAGATGTTCTTTCAATTTCACATGAATTTTTAATAAAATCAAACAATAATATATAATGGTACTAAAATTTATGACAATCATTACATGTTCCAAAAGAAGTACAAAATGTAGCACCATAAAATAGGGTAGACATACAACTTTATCCTTGATTTATGGAACTAACAAATAATTTTGAAAATCTAAAATTTGTGAAATTTTCTTATAGTTCAAATTCTTCGATTGTTTCTCGGGTTGGAGGAACTCTTTTTAAAGTTCTGTTTAAAATGAATCCAGACTTTAAGCTGCTGAGTTCTTTTCCTCTTCCTTTCCATTGCTCAGTTTTTCTCCTCCTGAGCCTAGGTGTTGGTCTTCCAGTTGCTTTGGAGATGAGAGTATTGCCTGTTGGCTGTGGATGCTCTGTATGTATGACCAAGAAAATGCCATGATTTTACTTGATGCAAATTTTACTAGTCTGCAATCCCAACATTATCCCATTCGGTCATATGGAAATCATTATTTAGTATCAGAGAACAGATTCTTCGAAGTATATCCTTTTCTATTGGTGATGGACAATCAGTTTGCTTATTTTTGGATCCATGGTGTGGAGGCCAAACCTTATCCCAGAGATTTGGTCATAGGTTGGCTAGACAACTCTCTCTTCCTAGGAATTCTAAGCAAAACCGTCTCTTGAGCAATGGTGGCTAGAATTTGGAAATTTTACAAGATGATATTTTCATTCCTTTCAGGGAATTTATCAACTCAATCCACATACATGCTGAACCTGATAAAATATTGTGGAAGGATGGCAAAGTCACCTTCAAGAAGGATTGGCTTAGTTGCAGAAGGTATTTTGAAGCTGTTGGTTGGCATGAGATTTGTTGGGGTAAGGGCAGGCCCAGGTGGTCTGTTAATGCAGTATTTGTGATGTTGGATAGGCTCCCCTCAATGGCAAATTTACAAAAGAGAAACATACAGCTTGCTCCTAGGTGTACAAACTGCTAGCATGCTACTGACAATAGAGATCATTTGTTTTTCTCATGTCCTTTTGCCCAGACCTTGTGGAGATGGTTAGGAGAGATTCTGAATTGGGAGATGCCTTCTTTTACTGAAAACTGGTTCATGGAATGGTACTATTGGTATTGGCAGAGGCACCAGTCATCCAAAATTCTTAGAAGCTTGTTTGCTGCTGTTCTTTGGGGGATTTGGCATGAAAGAAATGCTAGGTTGCATGGTACTACTCACACCTCTCCAGAAGATGTGGGAAAGACTTTGTTGTTTGAAGTGTTGGATATCCACAATACCTCTCTTAATGATCTGCATAGCTAGGAGTGTTTGTTTCTTTTGTGTGTATTGGAAATGGGCCTTCTCATTGGAGGAATGCTGGTCAATTATCAAGAGATTTGGGAAATCTGTGCAATTTGCGAACATTGAATCTTTCTCTTAACAATATTACCAGTGAAATAACTGAGCTCATTAATGGATTGTCAAGGTGTACCTACAGTACTTTAGTGGTATTGCATTTGGGATACAATAAACTTGGGGGGTTTTTTCCTAGTTCACTAGGAAGCTTGAAAAACCTCAAGTATCTTCAACTACGGAGAAACTCATTTCTTGGTTCAATCCCGGATTCCGTTGGAAGGTTATCGTCCCTGAAGGAGTTGTACCTCTCAGAAAACCAAATGAATGGTACAATTCCAAAAAGTCTTGGACAACTTTCTTCTTTGGTTGCCTTAGACATAACAGAGAACTCGTGGGAGGGTGTTATAACAGCAGCTCATCCGTTGCACCTCAAAAGTCTGAAGTAATTGTGCATTGGTAAGTTCTCCTCCTCCCCAGATGTTACCTTGGTTTTCAATGTGAGTTCTTTGTGGTTGCCTCCTTTTAAACTTCAATATATCAAGTTAAGTTCATGTCAGTTAGGCCCCAAATTTCCTACATGGCTCAGAAATCAAAACGAGCTAAATACTTCAGTTATCAGGAACACTCGAATTTCAGGCTCCATACCAGATTGGTTGTGGAAGTTAGATCTGCATTTGGATGAACTGGACCTTAGTTATAATCAATTAAGGGGTAGGGTACTAAATTCTTTAAATTTTTGTCCTCAATCCACCGTTAACTTGATTCTGAACCGCTTCGAGGGTCCTCTTCCACTCTGGTCATCTAATGTGAGTGAACTGCATTATCTGTTTTCCGGACCAATTCCTCCAAACATCGCAAAAGAATGCCCATGTTGACTGATTTAGATCTCTCTCACAACTCTCTTAGTGGTACCATTCCGTGGTCCATTGGTCAACTAAATGATTTAACAACTCTTGATATCCAAATAATCACTTATCTGGGGGAATTCCTGGATTTTGGCATAACTTTCCAACCTTGTATCTTATAGACATGTCAAACAACAGTTTGTCAGGAGAGATCCCTACTTCTATGGATTGTCTAACTTCACTTAGATTCTTGATGTTGAGCTACAATCATCTTTCTGGTGAATTCCCTTCTTTGTTGCAAAATTGCTCGAACATGGTTACCCTTGGTCTTGGGGAGAATAGATTCTACGGTAGCCTTCCATCATGGATAGGAGAAAGGATGCCATTATTGTTTGTTCTAAGTCTGAGATCCAACTTGTTCAATGGAAGTATTCCTGTAGAACTATGTCGCGTTTCCTATCTTCATATTTTGGACTTGGTGGAAAATAACTTGTCAGGATCAATCCCTCCATGTTTCGGGAATCTTAAAGGTATGAAATCTGAACTTAGTTCTACTAAGCGCTGTGAGGGGCAGCTATTGGCGGTGTCAAAAGGAAGAGTACTTCTATTCCTGAGTGCTCTTTATCTTGTGCATAGCCTAGACCTTTCAAGCAACAGTCTAAGTTGTGAGGTGCCTGAAGAGTTGGCAAATCTTGCAAGAATGTGCACTTTGAACTTGTCCATAAACCACTTGACAGGAAATATACCAGACAATATTGGAAAGTTGCAGAACCTCGAAACTCTTGACCTCTCGAGGAACCAGCTCTCTGGTCCTACTCCTTACAGCATGACTTCGTTAACTTCTCTCAATCACTTGACCTGTCACACAACAACCTCTCGGGAGAGACTCCATTGGGCAACCAATTCGGGACGCTTAATGATCCATCCATTTACAAGGGTAATCCTAGCCTCTGCGGGCCTCCATTGACAATCAACTGCTTGCGTTCTCCCAGTGGAGATGGAGAATACCAGGAGGATGATGATGATGAAGAAGATGGAGATGAGTTTGACTGGGCTAGTTTCTATATATCAGAATGGGACTGGGATTCATTGTGGGCTTTTTGGGGAGTGTTTGGAATCTTTCTAGTAAAGAAGTCCCGGAGGTATGCCTACTTCCGGTCGGTGGATGACCTGAAAGATAGGCTGATGGTGGCGGTCTTGGTCAACTTTGCTCACATGCGAAGAATAATGGAGCGGCAAAGGAACTGAGATTTAATGTGAATACGAACGAGCATGCTTGGAGATAAATTCCTTTTTGCTGTTGACTGGTTTTGGCCGAATTCTAGAGGGCAAAGTGTTGTGTTCCTTGTTTTCTCATGCCATTTGGAGAATTTGGTTACAGAGAAATACCTCTTTTACCTGCTAATGTTATCATTTGGGGTGTTGTTCTTCATGCCCTAAGTTTAACTCTTCCAGATTTGTTTATCATTTTTCATTGATGTTGGGAAGCTTTTTTAGTTTGCTGGTTTTCTTGCTTTACTGGAAATGGGCTTTGTCCATTTTAGTTTTGTGCTAGGGGGATGCCTCCCTAAAAAAAAAATGAAAAAACATTTTGCTAAAGCTCCAGTATTTTTAGCTGTAATTTTCTTTTTCCTTTTTTAGCTTTCAAATTTGTTTTCTACTTTAGTACACGGTTTTCTTCTTCACCTTCTTTTCTTTTCGTTTTTTTAGTTTTCAAAATTGTTTGTACACAGTTTTCTTCTTCACTTTCTAGTGGACTGTGACGTAGTAAAGCATAAAATAAGCTCAATTGTTGCAATAAAAGTCATTTCCTTGGGAGAAGACCGACTCAAGTATCAAATACAAGCACTCATTAAGTGATATACAAGTGTCGAAAGTGTAGAAATCTAAAAGAAACAGGTATAAATGTGGACTAAAGAACTTTTAGCTCCAACTTTCCTTCGGTAAAGAACTATACATATTGATTAAATGAATGGATCCTACATTTGTTTCCGTATACCATCCCAGAACATGTTTTCTAAAAACAAGTTGCTTTCAATTTTTTCTTTTTTCCCAAAGCATATTCCCTATTATAATTTTTTTATTATTTTATTATTTTTTATTTCCCTAAAATCAACTTCAACACATCACCCTTCTAAGAAACCATTTTCCAAACAACTTGTTTTCAGTTCTGTAGAATCACCAAATCCCAAAATCTCTTGTTTCTCAAAACCTTTAAGACACCACAACTTGTATCGAGAATATGGAGGTAAGAAAGGAAAAGGATTTACTTTGGTTTCGTTGGAATGCCGGAGTGTGGGGCTTTATGTGTGTGCAAGAAATGCTGTTAACATGAGAAGGGGATCTGGGAAAAAGGTGCAAGATAATGGGGAATGAAAACCAGGCACTACCGAGACGTGGTTAGCAGCATAAACACGCAAATTAGAGCGCTAATTTATAAAATTAGTATCTAATGAAAACCAGGCACTACCGAGACATACATCTCTCCTGTTTCTCTGGTTAGCAGTGTAAACAGACAAATTAGAGCACTAATTTATGAAATTAGTATCTAATGAAAACCAGGCACCCCTCTACTATGAAATTAGTAGCATACATACTCCTTTGGGCCTTTTTGAAAGAATAAAAAGGCAAAATGGATATTACAACATTACTTTTATGTCAAACTTTTATTGTAGAAGTGTTTTCAACTTTCTGTACAATGTGAAAAGAATAGATGTGTTTTTTTCACACTTTTTTACATAGCGATAAAAGTGCTACACGGAATATACTTTAGAAGTGTTTTCTGCACCTACTCCATTAAAACTTACAAGAGTTGCATAATTAATTCATTGTCAAGTTGGACTTAAATTGGATACTACCACAGTATACTTTCGTTACTAAGAAAACTAAAAGCAACAGAAAATAAAAATGAAGTGGCAGCCAATTGCTGCCTTCATATTCAATTGTTGTACTTGAGCTAACCATATACTTTCTCATCTTTCGAGATATGGATCCTCAAGGTATTTGCGAAAAATCCAATATTAGATTATAATTACACATTTCAACAATGGGTGATCAATCATCAGTCCCAAAGTAACGATCACCAAACTCCCCCATACCCGGTATGACACGATACTCCTCATTCAATGCCACATCAATCTCCGACGTCACAATTTTCAAGGCTGGGAACCGTTTGCAAACACACTGTATTCCCTCGGGCGCCTAATAAAGCAAAATAACAAGCAATGGAATGAGCGTCGTGGAGATAATGAAATAATATGTACTTGATACCAGTGTTAGAGAATAACTCACAGATATGAGATTTAGGAATATTATGTGGGATTCTGGAACTCCTTTCTGTATGAGTAATTCAATTGCCTGGTTAGCCGAGTTACCTTCAAGGAAATCAAATATATGTCAGTCTCCAAATATGAATATAATGCCTTAGTTATTTAAATTTGGTAGAATCATGGAAACAAAGGAGAGAAATTTTCTCAATTTCAGATGTCTGTGAAAGAAAAAATCGTCACGATGTGACTTGTCCTCCTTCCCCAAACCTATTTTTGCACAATATAGTGAGTGGCGCATATTTTAAAGATAATAATAATAATAATAATTTGTAGATACTGGAAATGGAAAAGGAGAAAAAAGTGAAGAAATGTTATTCAATAATATATATATATATATATATATATATATACACAGTTACCTGTAGCAAGAACTGGGTCCAGAAGCAAGACATGCCGTTCTAGAATATCTTTCGGAAGTTTTTCGTATATAAGCTGCTAAGTTAGAGACCATAAAGTAGGGTTACAAATTAACAGTCTGATCCGTGAGGAAATCAAAAAATCAAAGCATCTTTTTAAAATTTCTCTTAAATAATAAGGAGAAGATGAGAGAGAGGGAGAGAGAATGAATGAAATTACCTGTTTCCCATTGTCACCATCACGATGAATCAAAATTTTTCCAATTTTTATTCCTTTGCAACAAGCACGCAATGCATTCTCCATACTTTCACCACTATAAAATAATAAAGACAACTGTCAAAAATTTTATATGATGATTGATGAAGTTACCCAATGTTGGAATATGTGGTAATATTCTTGTAATAAGTATAATCAGTAGGATTGCCAATAATATTTGGTAAGCATAATTAGTGGAATTGACAAGAATATTTAGTAAGCATAATCAGTGAGAATTGACCACAATTATTGTAATTCAAATTCCACAATTATTGTAATTACATTTCCTGAAGAATATAAATATATGGGTGTAGAGATGTTAGAATTAACTTTCTACAACCCTTTCTTACATTCTACTGTCTTCTTCTTCTCTCTTTCTCTTATCTTTCCTCTCTAAACCCTAATCATCCAAAACCCTACAGTTCAACTTGATATCAGAGCCAGGTTAAGTCCTGTTCTCATCCCTCTCCTCTCAACTTGAAGGCGGCCTAGAAGTGTGCTAACGTGAGCATATTGAGGCTCAAAAGTCTTCATCCTGAATCGCCCCTCTCTAGAACATCACAGTATTTTTTCCTGATTTTGAAGCCATCTTCTAAAAAAAAAAAAAAAAAAAAGGAAGATGTTTGTTGTGATCTCGTTGATGGAGCCTTTTCTATTGGATTTTCTGCTTCCATCTATCCCAGAATGGTGCAACTAGGCAGTGTTGATGATTTTATGAAGTTTGGTTGTTTGATTTGAAGCATCCAATTCAGGTCTAATAATTACATATAATTGTTCTACTTATTTCTAGTTGGTTTTATCCTTAGATTCCTTGTTTGTTCTTTGGCTATTGTATATGTTCTTGACATTAGATGTCCGAAGTCTCTACAAGTACTGAGAAAGGTGGATTAGGCCGTGTCTCGTCCAATGTTGACAATCCATCTCTTCAGATTAGTCCTGTGAAATTGGACGGGACGAATAACTTAGAGTGGTCTCGATCATGCCTTTTGTCAATTCAAGCACATGGCCTGAGGGCTTTTTGATTGGAGAGCGCAAGAAGCCAGAGTCAACCGATACCTCTAATGATCAATGTGTGTAAGACAATTCACTGGTGATGTCTTGGTTGCTACACTCCATGCAACCACATATCGGTCATGGATACCTTCTTCTTGATTCAGCCCATAGCATTTGGACGGCTGTATCTACTCTCAGTTGGGGAATGATGCACAAGTCTATGAATTACGAAATAAGGTGCATGAAACCAAACAACAAGATATGTCAATTGCACAATACTATACTGAGCTTAATAGTCTGTGGCAAGAGTTGGATTATTATCAGGACTTTCAAGCAGAATGTGCTAGTGATAGTACCAAATTTCAAAAACTTTTGGATAAAGAGCGTGTGTGATTTTTTTGCCGGGCTTAACATGGAGTATGATCAGATTCACATTTAGGTGCTTGGTAGGGATCCCTTCCCATCTTTGAGGAAAGCTTATGCATATGTCCAGCAGAAGGAGAATCGTAGAGTCATAGGAGTGCCATGATTCACAGTATGACTCGAGATCGTTCTGCTTTATCTTATATCCCTCACAGAGACGAGCGGTCACAACAGCCTGGTGTCGATGACAAGAGTGGGGGTTCTGAGGAGGACCTACTGAAGTGTGACTTTTGTGGTAAGACAAGACACACTCTGGACTGTTGTTGGAAACTTCACAGACGTCCCACTAGAAGTTGAGGTGGAGGACGGTCTTGCTCAGCAAGGTTACATGCTCATTTGTCAGAGGTCTCGGAGACAATGTCTAAGCCAAACAGTGGGGACTCTGCCACTCTCACTGCAGATGAATTACAGACACTTCGAGGATGGTGATGGCTCGCTTCAGTACTTCATCTGCCTCAACTTCTGCTACAATCTCATCTTCTTCTAATTTTGCTCACACAGGTATATCTGCAAGTGCTTTTAGTGTCTTTCCACCCTCTCATGGGTCATTGATTCTGGAGCCTCTGATCATATGACAGGTTCTTCTAATCTTTTCTCCTCTTTTTCAACTTGTTCTGGTAAAGATAAAGTTAAGAGTTCAAATGGCTCTGTCTTCGATTTCTGGAAAGGGGCTTGTCCAATGTTCCCTGTCCATGTCACTATCTTCAGTATTCACATGTTCTAACTTTTCTTAAAAATTTGCTATCTGTGAATCGAGTCACTAAATCTCTAAACTGTTATGTGACCTTTTTTCTTATTCATCGTGTGTTTCAGGAATTGGGGACGGGGAGAACAATTAGCAGTGGTAAGGCACATAGTGGTCTACATCTGCTGGAGCCTTTTTCTGGTGATAACCCTTCTTCTCGTTTGGCTCTTCATGATGGTAATTCTCATAACACTTCAGCAGATACATCAGTAGCATAGGCGTTTGTGTCATCCTTCTATTGATGCATTAGAAAAACTTTTTCCTGATTTGGTTAAGCAGTGTAATAAAGAGAGTTTTATTTGTGATGCTTGTTAGTTTGCAAAACATCAAAGGAATTCTTATCTTAGTAATAATAATAGAAGCACTGCTCCTTTTATGATTGTTCATGCTGATGTATGGGGACTATCCAGGGTTGTTTCGCTTTCTGGCTATCAATGGTTTGTTACTTTTATTGATTGTTTTTCTAGACTTACCTGGGTATACTTATTACATCATAAAAGTGATGTGGTCGCATGTTTTCAGACATTTCACAAGATGACATGTACTCAATTTGATGCTAAAATTAATATTCTTAGAACTGACAATGGGGTGGAGTATATTAAAGGTGCCTTTCAAACATGTCTACCTGACCATGGAATTGTTCATCAAACTAGTTGTGTTAATACTCCAGCACAGAATGGCGTGGCCGAATGGAAGAATCACCATCTTCTTGAAGTAGCTCGCTCTTTACTATTCAGTATGGGTGTTCCTAAGACCTTCTGGGGTGATGTTATTCTCACTGCCACATACCTCATTAATCGGATGCCTTTGAGAGCTCGACTTTATGGTTCCTGTTGAGTTGCTTCAAGGTAATGGAAACATCCATTCCATTCCTCCCCGAGTTTTTGGAAGTGTGTTTTTTGTTCATGATTCACAACGTTCTAGAGGGAAGCTTGATCCCAAGACACTATAATGTGTGTTTATTGGATATTCGGTAACACAAAAGGGATACAAGGGCTACCATCCTCCTCCTAGAAAACTTTTGTTAGCTTGGACGTCACTTTTCACGAGTCTGAGCCATATTTTCTTCCTTCAAAACCATCTCTTCAGGGGGAGAATGTGGAGGAGGAAGAGACGTTTTTTCATTCTGAAGCTTATATTCCTATTCCTGTTCAAGCCCAAGCTCAGGAGGAATCCGGAAAACAAGTGGAAGATTACACCATTCATAATAAGGGGGAGCAAGGTGAAGAACAAGCTGATTATAGGAGATTAGATAAGGAGAATTTGCCAAGGTATTCTCGTCCGCCTAGATGTCAGATGGAGCAGATTCCCTCCCACTCATGTGCCTCCACCACACCGGTTGCAATCTCCAACTCCAATTTCAGAACCCAATGTACCTCCTCTCCCATCAGGTGATAAGTCCTCTCTTATTCCTATTGTCGATAATAATGACCTTCCAATTGCTGTTAGAAAGGGAATCAAGAGTTGTACTCGCCTGTCTCAACATCTTATTTCTAATTTTGTTTCCTATGATTCTTTATCTCCTTACTTTCGTGCATTTGTTTCCTCTGTCTTCTATAACTATTTCTCAAAGTTGGAAAGAAGCTCTTGCAGATCCCAAGTGGGAGAAATTATTCATTGCAACCGTTACAACAATGACGTGGTGCAACAGACGACTACAAACACTCCACCAAAGCAAAGTTGACCTACAATAGAACCAAAAAGCTTAGATATGTGCTTTGGTGGAGTGTTTGTAGCTGTCCGTTGCACCACGTCATCGTTGCAACGGTTACAATAAATAATTTCTCCCCAAGTGGAAAGAAGCAATGGTAGAAGAAATGAGAGCTTTAGGGAAGAATGGGACATGGGAGCTCGTTCCACTTCCAAATGACAAAAAAAATTGTTGGATGCAAGTGGGTTTTTACTGTGAAGCAGAAAGGAGATGGAACTATAGAGAGATACAAGGCATGTCTAGTTGCTAAGGGGACCCAAACATATGGCATCGATTATCGAGCGACATTTGCACCAGTAGCTAGGATGAACTCCATCCGAGTGCTTTTGTCATGTGCAGCCAATTTAGGGTGAAGTTTTCAGCAATTAGATGTGAAGAATGCATTCCTTCATGGGGATCTCAAGGAAGAAGTCTACATGGAGGTTCCACCAGGATTCTCTTCTATGACCACTAAAGGAAAGGTATGCAAATTAAAGAAGGCACTTTATGGCTTGAAGCAGTCCCCGAGAGCCTGGTTTGACCGATTTTGTAGGGCCATGATCAGTGCTATTAAAGGTCAAGGCGCTGGAGGTCCTTTGGAGCCTAGGCGCGAGGTGCGCGCCTAAGTGAAGTGAGGCGCACAATTGAAAATTTAAACTACCATAATAATATTCATATCTCATAAGTCATATCAATATTCTAAAAATTAATATCAAATATAAAAAAGTAAATCTATCAACTATACAAGCATCCAACAACCATAAAAAAAGCACAAATTTGTTTTCTTGAAAGGCAAAGCAAAATGTGTTTTTTTGAATGGCAAAACAAAGCACGAAAAGAAATAAATATGTTAACAAAAAAAAAAAAAAAAAAAAAAAGAACTGACGTGTCGTCGTCGTTCATCTCTGCAACTAGGGCTTCGTCTTCGTCTCACAATCTCATTAGATCGCTACTCGATTAACACTTTGACTCTTGGGCTTTCTTATTTTTTTTATTCTTTTGAACAAAAGTTCCTTCTATCGTATGCATGGGATTTCTTTTTTGTTTATTAAGTTGCCAAAAGTACCCTTTTTGGCTTAAGAAATAGAACAATCGCATTTTTTTAAACATATATCAGTGAGGCGCGCCTCACAAACAGGACGAGGCACAACCGAGGTGCGCGCCTAGTAAACATCAGTGAGCCTAGGATGACAACAGACACTAAACCTGAGCCTCGAGCCGCGCCTTTAACACTGGCCATGATCAAGTTTGGATACAAGCAAAGTAATGATGATCATACCATATTCATTAAGTGTGCTAAGGGCAAGATCACTGTTCTTATTGTATATGTAGATGACATTGTGGTAACATGAGATGATTTTGAGGACGTGTCCAGGTTAAAAGCTCACTTAGCCCAGGAATTTGAGATCAAAGATTTGGGGAATTTACAATATTTTCTTGGGATAGAGGTTGCAAGATCTGATAAAAGCATCATTATATCTCAAAGGAAATATATTCTAGAGATGAATCATCGTCTTCGGAGTGGCGATGGCAAACAAGTGGACAAGATAAGATATCAGAGATTGGTTGGGAAACTTATATCTTTATCTCACACTCACCCATACATAGCAAATGCAGTGAGTGTTACTAGCCAATTTATGCATGACCCTCGCACCACTCATTTAGAGACTATGTATCGCATTATGAGATATTTGAAGTCTACACCTGGAAAAGGGATCTTATTCTCCAGTCATGCACATTTGAAATTGGAAGCTTTCACAGATGCAGATTGAGCAGGCTCAATTGATGATAGACGGTCCACCACAGGTTATTGCACCTTTATTGGTGGAAAGTTGGTTACTTGGAGGAGCAAAAAACAATCTGTAGTGGCTAGGTCAAGTGCAGAAGCAGAATACAGGGCTATGGCTCATGGGGTATGTGAACTCGTGGATTCAGACCTTGATGAGTGATTTGGGTGTTGTAATGGATGATGGTCCTATGAGACTTTATTGTGACAATAAAGCGGACATTAGCATTGCACATAACCCGGTTCAACATGATAGATCGAAGCATATTGAGATTGACAAGTATTTCATCAAGGAGAAGTTGAATCATGGAGTGATCTGTATGCCTTTCGTAAAGTCAGAAGAACAACTAGCTAATGTTTTCACCAAGGGTTTGAGTTCTAATTCATTTCATTCTATTGTAGGCAAGTTGGGCATGAGAAATATCTATGCACCAACTTGAGAGGGAGTGTTGGAATATGTGGTAATATTCTTGTAATAAGCATAATCAGTGGGATTTGACAACAATTATTGTACTTACATTTCCTGAAGAAAATAAATATATGGGTGTAGAGATGTCAGAATTAACTGACAACCGTTTCTTACATTCTACTATGTCTTCTTCTTTCTCTCATCTTTCCTCTCTAAACCCTAATCATCCAAAACCCTATAATTCAACTCCCAACTATAAAAGCACAACTCCTTTACCAATTATGAGAATGGGAACAAACAAAACAGAAAACTGCTAGTGAACCAAGTCCCAAGGAAAGACATTATTTCTTTTCTTCTTTCATTTATTGTCTAGTGTGGGTTAATAAGCAACATAGCTTAATGTGGAATAGGGAGAAGAAAGGGGAAAATATATTTATGTTTCATGCATATATAAGTCCAGCCAGTGAGAATCCCTGCAACACCCAAAGTAGAGTACAGTACTAATGGCAAGTAAGCCAATAATAGTTTTGATTAAACAAGACACGAATCTAAAGGGAGGAACTAGCTTTATTAACATGCCTATCTTATTTACATCAACAAATGAAGAATTAACAATTTCCAAATAACCACTTCATCAATACCTCACTTAACCCTCACCTTCGCACAATGGAAACTCCACACAATTTCTTGCAAAAGTCAACACCAGTATAAACCGATCCTGCAATAGAATGTCAGAAATTTGTTAAAGATATGCAAAACATTCTTTTTATTTTCTGGGTAGACAATTAATAAAACAAGGGAAAATTGGTTAATAGAATGATAAAAGCTTGGGCTCCCAATAATGAGGATGCGGTTTCAAGTCAAACGGTAAACACTTTGCACAAATAATGCAGAAAGTTACGTGTATATCCAGTCTGCCCATCCCTATACCCTCACTATGAATTATGGACATAGATACGAGATACGGGCATGACACCAAAAGGATACAGTGATACGAGAAATTCTTAACTAGTAAGCTATGAATATGGCAAGGACACTGCAATATAATGTACATATATTATATGAATGTAGACATGTAAACTAAATTTATATGTATACATGTATAAATTTAAAAAAATTGTTTGTCATGTTATATATATATTGTTACTAATATTTCCTTATAAAAATTATGATCAACAAGTTCATAGTAACATTACATAAGACATAAATGTTGAACCAAGTTAAGCATCATGTATTCTTATTATATCTCAATATTTAAAAAATAATAAATAAATAAATCTAAGATTATCTCTAAGAATTATGCTATAATATTATACTAGAAAAAGTTACATTTTAACATTTTAATAATCAAAGTATCTGCCAAGTTTCACATATGTAAACTAAATAAATACAAAAATCATTTCCAAATAATAGATAATATCAGACACATATCCATGAGTAACCAAGAATCGTCTATCTAATAAAGGTACGGCCCCATTATAGGAGTATCTATGCTTTATAGCACCATCAATTAACGAGACCACACTAAATAATGCCATTTTTACCATTTAAGAATACAACACCAAAAAAGTTGCACAATTGAACAATTTAAGGTAGAAACGAAACACAAAAATAAAGATGTTATGAGGATGTTATGAGTTGTCAAATTTTAGTGATTTAAAGTTACATTACACAACTACTGCAGGAGAGGAGAAGCATAATGAATGAGAAGAATAAGAACGAAAAATTTGCGAAATTTATATAGATATTTTTCAAATTCGTTTGACATCCTCTTCAATAGAACATTAATTATAATTTTCCAAAAAGCATAAGAAAACAGCTGCTTGCTAAAAAGATGATAAAAATTAGGAAAAAAAAAAAAAAGATGATAAAAAACCTAATATATTGATATGCCTAGGAAATAATATCAATCATGGTCATTAGTTATTTCTCTACAATAGCTAATCCCAATTTTTTGGTTCTGGCACCTAAATCATTTTTGCCACATGTAGAGGCATATCTTTGTTCTAAAAGATGCCATCACATCAGGTTAGTCAATGTTACACAAAATTATACCTTATCAAGATGACAGGACAAAATAATCAATTTTAATAATTTAACGCATACATGGAATTTAAGGAACATTCAATTATTTTCAGTTTTCCATTTGATATATTATATTATGAAGTAAAATTCTCCAAGATGAAAAACTTGAATCAAAGAAATTATCCTACATAGTCCAAAAACTCATCGCAAACACACATGCGCACATACACCAAAGAGAAGGAGTAGAATCAAGCTCACGCCTAATTCTTCTCCATCCCCCTAAAACACACCTGTTGGAGTGACTACTTGCTTCTCAGTAAAAGGTAAATGGCCAAGCCCATGCTCCACAACCTGATAGTCAACATTTATATAAATAATCATGTCTGGTAATGTTTATTATCATAAAGCTGTTGAGTTTTGGTCAATCAATAAATTTTGATAAGCTAAATAGCAGAATTACCAGTCGTATAAGCCGATCTGAATAGAATACAAAATCATGTTTTGAAATATCCCGATCTCGAATCAGTGTATGCATACCTCTAATCTGTAATATGGGTGTCCATTATGAGCATAATGATACCAAGGACCAGAGAGAACTGGATGTCCAAACATCAATTAAATTGCATTTTAGATCATAGAGAATAGAAGAAACTTCTAAAGATATAAACTCCTTTCTTTCCCTTCAGATCAATATAAATGACTGATATTTAACATGGACTCCAACTGTTAAATCCCTGATTGTTGCTATTGCTGTTGTTATTTGACCCTTGAGTTACTTGTATAATAACTTAAATGAGCCATCACCCTAAAAAAGAAAACCACTTTAATATGTGTTTCCATTCTCTTTCATTGTTTAGCTGTACACAATTTGATTTGATAGCATTCTGTATCTATCCAAGATGTCACTATTTTCTTTACTCCTTATAAATCTGGATCACTCATAATTAAATGGTATCAGCTAGGTTTGGAGCGAAGGCCCATTAAACAGATGACAATTGATGTAACATAAAGATAACATTTTTTGTGCTTGGTACAGATAAGCCAAAAGCACCATTAGAAATGTATGATGACACCAACCCAAAAGGGAATAAAAGGCATACCTGAAATGTTGACTGAATAACAGTCACATTGGGAAATATTTTGCAGAGGTCATGCTGACCAAGCTTTGTGCGAATATGTTGGACAATTAAATCAATAGCAACGTGATTATCACCTCCTCGGGGGATGATTACATCAGCATACTTCTTTGAAGGAAGAACAAAATCATCAAAAGCAGGTTTGACAAACTTTGCATACTGCACAGTTAACAAGATTATTGCAAGATTCTTATCCATTATAAGGTGACAAAAAAGAGAGATAGTAAATCACAAACTCACTAGTTAATCAACTAAAAGCAGCTATACGAACATCAGTGCAAAATTGGAAACAAATAAAAATGATGAGTTACTCCTACACCATTTCTAGGGCTGCAAATGAATGGAGCCCTTCATGAACGTCTCAGGTCAGCTCTTTAAAAGCTTGGCCATTGTTCGTTTGTTAAGTAAATGAATTGAGCTCCTAAAGCTTGTTCGTTTGTTAAGTAAATGAATTGAGCTCCTAAAGCTCTAACATTTACTAAATGAGCCAAGCCTGAATAGTATGCGCTTGGCTCACTATAGGCTTGTGAACAAGCCATAAAATTACATAATTTTAAGGCCCAATATGTTCAAATTTCTTATATAATATAAGCTTAGCCCAAATCCATATACGTTTCAAGAGAACGCCCATCAAGCCCTTCTTACAAATAAAGCCCATTAGCCCAAACCTCTCTCTCTCTCTCTCTCTCTCTCACACACACACACAACAAAACAAAACAAAACAAAACAAAAAAAAAAAAAAACCTTTTAATTCGGCTTAAATCTTTAATAGATCAAAATTTTAAAAGCTAACCCTGATGATCTGATCTTATCTTTCACTTCTACACAACCTTAGCTGCAGCCATCCACCTCAATAACCAAACTGGCAACCCATTCAACAATGACCACAACCATCAACCACACTCCACTGATTGCAACAACACCTTGATCGAGGTTAGCTTTATACATTTTCCTTTTTCTCTCTCATATGATCTCACCCTTCCTCATTTGACTTGAACCAGTATCAACAGTGGACTCATTAATGTTGTTGGGTTGCATGAGAGGGGGCAGATCGAGAATCAACACACAAGGTCAGAGCAATGATCTCATCCATCACTGAAACTGTAAGGTTTAAATTTATAGATATACACAGATACATCTATTCTATACTACTGGATATGTAAATCTGCATGTGCAAATCTTACGCAAAAACAAGCTTGAGCCCAGCCGAAACTGAGCTCGTTGATACATGTCAACAGAGCTTGACTGTGCACAAGCTTAGCTCAAACATACCTCCAAGTATGGCAAGGGTGAGCTAGGACATGCCAAAGCTCAGCCTGGCTTAATTCATTTGCAACCCTAACATAATCCAGATAAATACACAAGATCTCACCACTGAGTTGGACAAATCCTGAGTATCAACCTTCTACCATACCTGGTAAACTCTCAATGTCAGCAGTTCTGAAAACCTATATAACATTTGAGACTATTGTTAGCTCCAAGCCCAAACTAGTAATAGACTACATTCTTTGCAATAAAAATCCTCTTGTAAATTCAAAGGGGCACAACTCCCTAGAGCACAAGCAATTTGCTGTAGCACAAATTAAGTGTAGCATCAATGTGGTGCAACTCCATCCATACGAACGTTTTCCACATTTCTGCCTAGTGACTTTTCATATATATTTAAGGTCATTGATTAAAACCCCTAAGATGCAGAGGTCAAAATCCATGCACGCATTCATAGCAAAAACTACAGAACCTTGCACGAGAAATTCAACTTCTACCACAACAGAAAACATAGACAAAAGTCCCTGATAGTGTCTTCCCGGAAAATTATCAAGAACCAGTTACACCTCAAGATACCTCAAGTCCCCGATGTCGATTTCGGTGCTTAAATTCTCAATTCTTTCCACTCTTTTTTGTTGGGTTTCAGGGAGAGATCAGAGATCATTGGAGGAGATTGTTGTCTTTTTGGCCTCCTTGAAGGCTTGAGGCCGTTGTGGTCTTTTGTATTTTTCTTGGGATCCGCTCCCCTTTTGAGCTTTTTTTAATAAAATTTTGTTTATCAAAAAAAAAAGATTTTAGTAGCATCAGTTGCAACTTGCAACAAGTGAAGACATAGACAACTGAATGCAACTATGAAACCAACAAACCCCTTAATGAACTGAACCAAGAACGTCAACTATCAACCAGAAAAGTACTTCCGGCAGTAACAAGTCAGAAACCCTAGGAGAGGCTTAAGCCTTAAACTATTAACAAATAGTTAATCACAAAAATAATAACAGTAATAATAAGAGTAATAATAACAACAACAAAGAAAAGGGGCTTGCCTGCTCAAGCACCGAGTTTACATCCCTTCCCCTCTCAACTGTGTCACGCCTTATTCTACGAGCAAGCCTCACATCAGCGTCTATGAAGAAGTATAGACCAGCAAATAAAATAGTCAGACAGAATTAAATGGGCAAAATCGGTAGATATAATAATAGAGAATTCTAACAAATTAATAAGAATCTCATCAGTTTGATGCAAAAATTAATATCAGTGTAGTAATAAGGTGCAATGAGATTACGTGCCAAAGCCTCCTCATAGCTAGCAGTAAAACTAAGTTTAGAGAACTAAGGAGACTTGCTCTTTAGTAACTGATCCATCAGTGTCCGATTTCGGTAGTAAATTCTTATAGCAGTAAAAACAACCATAGAGAACTAATAGACTTGCTCTAAATTTAATATACTAATCCCTCAGTGTCCAACTATGGTAGTAAGTTCTTAACTACTTGATCTAGATTGAGGAAAGGTCTAGTGATTCACCAAAAAGTCATCAGAGTTAACAAAGTATTACCACAACTACAAAAAGGTCATCTGTGTTTATAGGAGGCCTTGGCCAGAACCTGATTTCGGTAGTAAATTCTTATAGCAGTAAAAACAACCATAGAGAACTAATAGACTTGCTCTAAATTTAATATACTAATCCCTCAGTGTCCAACTATGGTAGTAAGTTCTTAACTACTTGATCTAGATTGAGGAAAGGTCTAGTGATTCACCAAAAAGTCATCAGAGTTAACAAAGTATTACCACAACTACAAAAAGGTCATCTGTGTTTATAGGAAGCCTTGGCCAGAACCTACCCACTATGGATGCCAGAACCAATGTTAGTTGCTGAACCAAACAAGCCAATGTGAGCATCAAAACAAGACTAGATTTTTGGGCAAGAAAGAAACTGACTGATGGTAGACATAAAATAGTCATCCCAAGATCTAAAAAGCCTCAAGGAGTAAGGCGTGATCTAGATAGCTGAGGCTTTCATATCACATTTATTATGACCACTAAGCCTTGAGATACGCTAACATTATTCAACACTGTATGCTCGTTCTACATAAAATCACTTGAAAATTATGCACAAGTTGAAAGAAAAATAGCTATTGCTATGACAAAACTAAACATGTATACAGCATTGCAACTACAACACCCTAGATAATGTAACTAAAACAGCTATAAATTGATATTCAAAATGAATAACACAGAGATGCAAAAACAATAATGATGATAACAAAAGCAACAACCAGATGCAAGATTCAGAACCTGTGTCTACAAAAATCTTCATATTCATCAAATTGCGGACACGTTGGTCATGGAAAACCAAAATACCCTCCAAGATAATAACATCAGATACATTTACCTGACAAAGACTTTGAATTAGTATTCTAAAATAAGTTGAAGGGAACTTCATAAATGAAAAATGGATTCCTATATATAATAATAATAATATTATTATTATTATTGCTAATCTCTCTCTCTCCAAACCGCACCCCCCTCCCTCCCTCCCCCAAACCGCACCATACACACAGATCAAAACCCTGCAATTTATTTCATGGGATTAAGATAACCAATGCGCTCATTTTGTCAATGAACCAATCATAAAAAATTTACAAAGAAGAAGAACAAGAGTTCATTAAGAAGGTTATGAAAATTGGCAGCTCAGTTTGCACACTATACATAAACAACGGAAGCACATAAGTTACATAACCCAAAATTCTACAGAGACTCACCAATATCAGACAACAAATTCTACAAATTTTACAAGCCTGTTATTTCTAGTTTAGAGAAGGAAAAGATGAACATAAAACACATACTATGGATCCTGACAAAAATATAACAAGTTCACAAGATGTATGGATGCAAGTAACAGAGTAGCAATAACATATCTTAAACAGATTCTTATATTGAATAAATGAAAGGGAAAATTCTAAATTTACCCTAGGCATCTTGTAAAAACCAATAACAGCAACCTGAGATCTGAAATGGATGGTAATCAGTATTCAAATTGTTTAAAAAGAGGACCCAAAAATAAAAACACTCCTTGCAAAATAGAAATGTCCTTGCTGTAATACCTCCCTAAAGTAATTTCTCGTATCGCAGGCAAAATACTACTCTTTTCCCTTTTTCATTACAAAAATTGCTACACATGAAACTCAACAGCATGCCAATGAACTTGGAAAGTTATTGACAAGTTCACGTTATATTGTGTTAAAGTTGAAGACATTACCAAGGACTAGTTGAAGATAAAAAAAATAAAAAAAAAAGACTATGGGTTAAGATAAAAACAAAGACAAAATGGCTTATTTAAAAATTTAAAAATAAAAAATAAAAAATACAAGGCCCTAGACAAGGTTATGGTGGAAATGATCAACCTAAAGTCGAGTTGATGCTTTCATGAGTTATAACTAAAATATGATTAACTAGTATTAATAAAATGTTTTAGTTGCATATATGGACAATTAGCGCAATACTCAATAGACTTTCAGCCTGATGACTCAAAGGTACTTACACTATGATGCATGCTACCAAAACTTTTACTTACTGTACCAAGAAATAATAATTTTGATCTTCTCATTCCCCTTGCATCACCCTCAATGTAAACCATGCTACTTTTGCTTATTAGTTCAACTATTGATCTTCAATGCACATAACCATACAAACCTAGGGATACATCTCTAACCGTTGGTTCTTCCACCATATCACCAATGTATTCATTTATAATTTTATTCTTTCTTTGTTTCACCGTATTCAATAGCGATATAAACATCAACACAGTCACTCTCAGTTTATTAACATGTCACTGTTTTGTCATCCAACATTTCGTCTCATGAAGCTGGCTAATATAATAATACAGCCGTCCCATAATAAGCGTTGGCCCCTTGAATTTTACAAAATTTATCCAACAAAATTATACATTCACTTTATCGATTTGAAAAGATTTTCAAAACTTAATAACAATTTTGGAGAAGTTGAAATTTGAACATCTAAAAAGAAAGGTGGACAATTATTTTAAGACATACTAAAGAAGAAAGCAGCTATGGGACGGAGGGAGTAGTTTTATAAGATTTATCTTTCAAATAATGTAGTTTTTTCTATAAGTTACCTTTCAATTCTAAACGTATAATCATACACTCTATCAAAACCACTCGTCCACTTAAACCATATGAATAATTGAGTCTAAATAGCACAACTGTTCATTTTTTTGGTATCTTTTAACTCTCGATCTTCACTAAATCCACACTTATTTCCTAGTCTAGCTATAGATACATTCCATATATTCAATTTATTACCACTAAAACCCTCTCAATTCTAGAGTTAATGGCTGCATCATGCAGGCTTATACCTCCTGATTTCATCTTCTTCGAAGCATTTTTAAATCTTATACACCCTAGTCTTGCAAAGAAATTTGTTTTTTTCCAATTTTCTTAAAGATATCATATTCTTTTAACCCGTGGTTTCCTTTAACAACTGCTCAAGGTAACTTCTCTACCTTTCTCTAATAATCTAATTTCATCATCTCCATCAAGACCATTAATCCTCACTCTTATGCTCTTATGCAATTAATGTGATTAAATTCTCTAATTTTACTCTCCTATAAATTCGTATACATTGTTCTCCCCATCATTTTTCCTATTTCCGAAGAAAAATTGTTGCACGCTCTATACTTGTCATCTTGTACTATTTTTAACTTGCTTGTTTTAATATTTGTACCGTTCAAAACTTTCTTCATTTCTAATCTTAGAACACCCACTTCTTGTTTTTCTTATGGATTAAAAGTACCTATTCCACCACCAAGTTTCCTTAGATAATGATGTCTCACTTCGATTATCTAAGATCCTCTTTTGTTATTATTTCATACATTGGGAATCCTATTTCATGGTACATTAGATTAGTCAATCCCCGTATACCCATCAAAAATAATAATAAAAATATATATATATAAAAATAATAAGCACCTTTCAAAACACATTTCAAGGAATAAAACAAGGCACAACTTACAAAAAGAAAGCCTTTATAGTTTATATATCACAGTAAAAAAAAAATAAAAAAAAAATAAAAAAAAAAAGAGGAGTGAGGTAATAATAGAAGTGCCTTTACAAAGATAGTTTAGCTTAAATTCACTACAACTATCTTGCCGTGACAATTTGAACATTCCAACACCTAAGGGTTGCAGTATAAGCACATAGTGGAGCCTTAATGCAAAAATAATAATAAATAAAAATAAAAAATAGAAAAAATAAAATGGGATTTCCTACACATATTGCAAAGTACATACCTGCCGGAAACTTTCTGAACACCTACGATGATTTTTAAAATCATATATGGGAACATGGACAGATTGGCCACATTTGAGCTTCCCAACACACTCCAGGAGCTGCTCAGTGTCAAAGGCATCTACAGAGAAACTAACATAGGATTATAAAGCTTGCAGAAAATTCACCCCTGCAGGACGCTGGTGAAATGTGGTTGCATGATAAATTCAGCAAAGTTGAGAAATTTACAACACCAGATCTTGCTTTTTTTGATAAATACACTAGATCTTACTTTACAAATGAATATCAACTAAAGGACCTAAAGCAATATTAAACAAAAAATTTGATTACCGGGATGATCAAAATTATACTCATGTACGCGTTCAGATTCTTCAGCTGTCAAGCCTCGATAAAATGAATCCTACAGAATAACCATACAAACATACATCAGGAAATTCATTTAGAATTATTCTGCATTAAAAAATCTATTAACAATTAATTTCCGTTAATGTTTCTTGAGAAATTATATTTTTAACCTTAATGAAAAATCTAATTCGAGGAATCTACACGTGTTGTTTACTCACTATGTATCAGGCATTTTAATCAACACAATTGACGACAAATTAAGGTATCTTCAATGATTAAGACGATTCATCCATGATATTGATGGTTTCTTAATTAGTTTGTCAGGCCAGCTGATATCAAACAGATGAGCTGATCTTAAACTATATTACATTCTTTCCATGTAAGCACCTCCATGCATCATACAATATTAGGACCCTATAATATCACATTCAGGGAAACAACAAAAACTGTCAAGCACTCAAGCACATGTAAGAGATTCTTTTCTTCTTCATTTTTTCTTTTTCATATTCTTTTTTCTTTTCTTTTTTTTAATATTTTATTAGTTTTTAAGAACCTTCGTACACACTTCTACTCTACGGGCATCTATTTGTGTTAGCTTTCAATATATCTAATATCAGCATGTGGACAAAGCCTGCCTTTTCATTTTACCCAAATGCCAGAAAGAGGAATCACAAGAGCCACCAGGATGCAGCAGAAACAATTTGGACATTAGTCTACAGGCATCTATTTGTGTAGCTTTCAGCCTTTCAAAATATCTAATATCAGCATGTGGACAAGCCTGCTTTTTCATTTTAACATAAGGCCATTATCGACATCCCCCATTATCAGAAAGAAGTATCTACATTGGATAAGTTAAATACCTGACATGGTTTTTCCAACCAAAGTTAGTCTACCCATTTTCTTGTTATCCTTATTTATTCTTCCTGGTAATCATTCATTTATTGTCCAATACCACTCATCAACAAGCTGAGTTATATATATATATACTATTGGTGTAGGCTTGTTTGCTTTAGGGCGTCAGTTGTGGCTTGACTTCTTTCTTTAAGTTCAGCTAGTTGATATCGAGAAAGCTCCTTAATGGCCACCTCATCCCTGTTCTCCGTCCTGGGGTTCTAAGCGACCGAAGCTTGGAACAATAGCTTATATATCTTTGATTCCCAAACCCCTTGTTAGCTCCATGACTCATGGTAGGGCCTTTCTCTATAGAAAAAATGTCTCATAACGGCATGAATATCGTTTCCTATGTCAATAGTATTGCACTTCTTTAAATAATCCAATTCCTAAATAAGGAGTAAACTCAAATAGAAAATCTCTCTCTCTCTCTCTCTCTCTCTATATATATATATATATATATAACTGGGATGTCCGGGGCTTTGCCCTGACTAATACACGGGACCCGTGCAAAGCGATCACTCCACACGAATTGGGCAAGGCTCGGACTATGTCTGCGGTCATGGCCCCTAAGGGAAAAAAAATAGTAGAAAATAAGGTACAAGCTAATAAGAGAAACTAAGGTACAAGCCCAAAAGTTGTTGAGATCAATAAACAATTGTACTATAGCATTCAGAGGAGTATTATTCTATAAAGCTATTAAAGAATGACATTCGTTCTCAACAAATATCAAAGTGCATTCATCAGAATCAACAAAATTGAATATAGAATAAGCTCCAGCACACTTACACACCTGATTGACAAGCACAACCCGATGATCATGGAGCTGTTGAATTATCATGTCGCACACTGTCGTCTTCCCGGAAGCCGTACCACCAGAAACCCCTACTCAATTACCATAAATAAATAAATAAATAAATAACGCCATCAAACTCAAAAATTCTAACCAAAAGCCCCAAACTACAGCAAACTGATACTGAAGACACACAATAAGGCATGCAATTGTTAAGAAAACAAGAGAAAACATTGAGATCGTTCAATTGGATATATGTAATTCCTCATCCATAGATTTTTTTTCTCAGGAATCAAACGGAAAAAGTGAGTGAGAGTTACCTATAACGAATGGTTCTTTGGGGACGTTAGAAGAGTCAGATAGGGCTGAGGAAGGAGTAGTAGGGACGGACGAAGAGCGAGGTACAGACGACGTAGAGCGGAGTTTGTCGAGTCGGAGGCCTGAGAAGTGAGGTCCCGACGCTGCCTCCATCGCGTAATCGATCGACGACGTCTCCTCCTGCATTCCGACTCTCTCTCTCTCTATATATATATAACTATATATTTTCTCTCTCTAGCTTGAATACGTTCTCTCTCACACTCTCCCCGAGCAGTTGTTCTCAGGAATTTTTTTTTTTTTTTCGAAATGTGAAGCTAAAGTTGTTCTCAGGAATTGTTAAAAAGACGAAGAAGACGAAACCCGAACGTTTCTATCACTTGTCGCGATACTCACCCCACTACCTTTTTTTTTACTTTTTGTACAATCTCTACAATTATACTCACCCCACTACCTTACAATTTGACTTTTTGAGTTGCGCAAAAGAATATATGCGCATTGCCGATGCCAAATGCTTTGTTGGGTACCAAGATACAAGTTGTGAAATTGACAATTTGAGCCCTAGGTTTTTTTTGTGTTTTTTTGTTTTTTGGGGGGGAAGGTAATTTGAGCCCTACATTCTAATTGAAAAGAAGAATAAACTAAGCCACAAACAGACCCTTATGCCCCATTTAATATGCCTTTTGTTTCCGTTGTTTTTATTTTTGGACTGCTAGAGTGTCGATTTTAACAACAAAAACATGTTTAGTGTTACCTTGTTTTATTTTACACATAACTAAAACACTCTGTGAACAGTGACCCAAAACTAAAACACAAAAAAATTATTTTTTCTTATTTTAACAACTGTTCAAGGCCCAAAATCATAACTATGATGTTTGTGTTTTCGATTTTTTTCCAAAACACTCCCATAGCAAAAACACTATTTCTGTTTTAGTCAAAAAATAAAACGTCAAAAACAAAGCGCATGTCAAACGGGCCCAATCTCGAATGTGCGCAAGTACAATTACAACGAAACATCGTTCCCAAACGTGCTTTCGATTTTTTTCCAAAACACTCCTATAACAAAAACAGTATTTCTGTTTTAGTCAAAAACAAAGTGCATGTCAAACGGCCCAATCTCGAATGTGTGCAACTGCAATTACAACTTTCAAATCATGTTAATTTGTTAAAAAAGAACAGAATAAAAATAATATATTGTACCATTGTTCATCTACGATTTTTGTTTTTTTAGTAGGTTATCAAAGAATAAGTATATGCAAAGAGGTTCAAGGCATGTATCCTAAAAAATTAATTTATTACATGGTTTCATTTGTCAACTTAGTTTTTGCTGAATAAAATTGATAAATGCATCACCTTTATTCCGTCATTTGCTTACCTGATGATCATAAACCCTAAAACCTAAACCTTGAATCAAAAAGATTGAATCTTTGTAAAAAAAAAAAAAAAAGAGAGAGTTTTGACTTAAGTATAATAATTTGACCAAACTCGTAATAAAGACGGCAAATTAATTGGGATGTTCATAAATAATTCAGGCTTAGATTGTCAAAAACTCAATTCTTGTTTCTCGTGAACAAGTTCCATAGGTTTTAGTGTATCACACATTAAAGAGCATCTAATTGTAAGTTCGGCCCATGCATTTGCAACAAATATGCTCGGCTATGGGGCCATTAAATTGTCCACATTTGTTCACAAAAAGGTCCATATACTTGCCCAAGAAAATTAATGCAAGAAGGCCTGCAATGTATTTCTTTTCTAAGAAAAAAATAATATAGTGTTATGGCAACTTGGATGTAAACCTAACCTTTCTTATTAATTTTATTTTTGCATAGAATGCCTGCTATCTTATTAATTTTATTTGGCCATGTTTGTCATGACTTGGGTAACAGCTTGGCTAAATTGCTCACGATTTTTCAAGCTTGAAGTTAGTTTCGCGCACATGCAATTACTATTTCTTATCTATCCTATGTCTTTGTGTGTAGTGTTATTTTGTTTGGTTGTGCTTTGTAGATGTCGTATGGCTGTTTCATATTGTCAAGAAATGTATACATATACATATACATATACGAAAATTTGTTCTTTCACTTGTCAAGTTTTAGTGTTGCATCAAGTAATTAAATATTATCTCAGTAGTGTTATAAGCAAAGGGGAGTTTGAAACCCTTTGAGGTCATCCCTTTAGATGCCTGTGACTCTGGATTTATGGGGTATTCTAAGATACTTTATACCACCGCACAAAAAATAAAATAAAAAGAATAAATAAATAAACAAATGGACAGAATATGCAAAACCCGGCCAGGATTATAGTCATCCTGACTAATTTTATTCAGCTTTAATTTCTTTCAATCTATCATATGATCAATACAATAATTAGTTTAACAAAACATATCAAACTTACAAACAACCTCCACACTGCAGCTACAAAACAGACTCCTTGCTAATAATTAATTAAATTATGAAGAGAAAACCAGACATCGATGCAATTAACAGAATAAAGGATGTGGCAAAGTGAAATGCAGAAGCTGCAGAAGTCGAATTAGGCGTAGAAGATGAAGACGATCCAGGTGCAGAGGAAGCGTCGGCCGCGGACACTGTTTTAATCGTGACCTTCATCCCTTGATCACAGTGGCCTAATGTGCCACAAGCAAAGTAGCGTGTACCGGCCTTGTTCAACTTAACCACACTGTTACCACCATTCATTGAATCTGTGGCACTACCAATGTCACAGTTCTTGTAGGCACTGTCACTACCAAGTTCAACCACACTGTGCAGTGCAGTATACTTGAAAACTGTCCCAACAACCAAATGAATTATATCAATTCCATAATGAATAAACATATACCAGGTCATTGGTATACTCGGCCAATAAAAATTAATATACCAATTAGCTGAGAGTAGTTTTTATTGGGTGGACATACCAATGACCTAGTGCACCGAATATCTTCTCAAAAAATAAAGCTAAATATATATACCTAGGCCATAATGAATAAACATATACTAGGTCATTGGTATACTCGGCCAATAAAAATTAATATAGGAATTAGCTTAGAGTAGTTTTCATTGGGTGGACATACCAATGACCTGGTGCACCGAATATCTTCTCAAAAAATAAAGCTAAATATACATATTTAGGCCATAATGAATAAACATATATCAGGTCATTGGTATACTCGGCCAATAAAAATTAATATAGCAATTAGCTTGGAGTAGTTTTCAATGGGTGGACATACCAATGACCTGGTGCACCGAATATCTTCTCAAAAAATAAAGCTAAATATATACATTTAGGCCATAATAAATAAACATATACCAGGTCATTGGTATACTCGGCCAATAAAAATTAATATAGCAATTAGCTGAGAGTAGTTTTCCTTGGGTGGACATACCAATGACCTGGAGCACCGAATATCTTCTCAAAAAATAAAGCTAAATATATATACATAGGATCCTGTGTTGCGTACTGCATCATGTATGTTGCAGGAGGTCTACAACAGAGGATCTAAATGCTTAACTACCAGCCCAAAGAAAAAGGAAACATACCGAGTTGATCGCCGACCTTAAATGTCTGACCGGAAGACCATGAACTGAAGTCAGTAGATTCATCCCAGCCTTGGCTTCCCCCAACAACATGTTGGGCTGCCAAGGCTTGTTTGGTGAAAAACATAGCAAAAACCAACACCAAATAAAATTTGTATGAAGCCTCCATTTGCAATCCCTTCACTCCCTCTTCAGCCTAGCTTGTTTGATTACTAATTTACTACTCCTACTGAAATTATACATGTGTGTGTGTATGTAGGCATCTATATATATAGAGATGACAAGCTTCTAGCACTGCTGTATTGTCCTCATTTTGTTTCATAAAGAATATATAAAATACAAGATTTGGTGACTTGAAATTTAATAATGATCAAATTGACCACCTAACCCTTGGAAGAAAATGTTTAGTATTGAGTTGGTGCAGGGGGTAAGAGTTGGGGTTTATGTAACTTAGAGTCCTAATAGGGACAGTAGTTCAGTGTTTGGATTGCCTGCTAAGCAAAATGTGGTAGGTCCTTAAGTCATGGAGGCGTGGCTTTGAAACTAGGCTACCCCTGGTAATCAATAATGATAGATAAATTCAGAGTCACTAGTGGGATTGTCTGTAAGCTCCTTTTTTCAGGTTGTTGTAGGTCAGGTGAATTGTATATATTCTTGAAATGCGTGAGAATTTAGAAGAAGACAGCCCAAAAAAATGTAGGTCAGGTGAATTGTTGTGATCATTGCCAGATTACATTAGTTTCATTTGACACAAGCAACCATAGCATGCATCTCTCTCTCTCTATATATGTATCTCTCTCAAATATGCAAGTGCCACTATCAAATTTCTTGTACCACACTAATGTGATGTGCTTGAGCCTCGTATATACTCTTAATGAACTGTGGCGGTATCGGATATCCGACACTTGTTCAATATGCAGATACGGCCCAAACACGTGTTCGAAACGCCTAAAGGGAAGCAAAATATACTTCGAATTTGAGGTATTGACTAACCAATCTTCTCTTGACAAGTGGACTAAGCCCCGTTCACTGTTGACTGCCTTTCACAAATGAGTTTGAGGGACCCGCATCCTCTTGGGTATTTAGACCTGACCCGTGCGTCCAATGAACCAAAACTGTACCATTTTAGTGCACAAGATTCACAAAGTTTGAGGGACTTAGATCTTCTCCTGTGCAGGAATTTGGACCTGTGCATACCGGGCACCAAAACAGTGCCATTTTGGTGCACAAGATCCACTCCAACACAGTAAGGGAGCCTCTTCAGCTTGAGCCCTCTTTGATTACCATTTATTTCCTATGCATTGCAAAATGCCAAGAATAATACGAAGGATAAAAATATGTATATCATCACAGGAGAATTGGAAATGCCTAAGAAAATAGGAAACTGCTTCTATCCCCAAAGGGAATTCTTCTATTATTTCATTATGAAACTTTGCTTTCATGAAATGCCCATCCATTGAAGCCCTCAAAATCAACACATCAATTCAAATTGTAGTTTAGGGAGGTTGGACCCTACTTTTAAGTCTGTAAATCTTTTGAATTTTAACAGGGATGCAACCCAAATGAGTTAGGCCACCGGAAGCACCAGAGCCTTACCCGGAAAAGCTTGCAAAGTCTGGTCTGAAGCCATGAAACATGAAGGTGTCATTGGGTTGATAAATTCAACTCAATTAATGAGGTGAGTTGGGCTCAACCAAATGCAGCTCCACCAGGATACTACCATATGAAACATGCACCTCTATCATCATATATGGCCATTATTTGATTTTCATTGATTATAATGTAATAGCTTAACACAGACAAAATTAGAAATTCCCAGTAGAACAAACGAAATGATGAACTGAAGACAGAGTCACCTGGAGATTGATTTGATGAGGATTGCTTTATACATGCACTTGAATCCCAAGATTTCGCTAGCGATAAACACCATATTCCTTAATATTTACTTAAATCTCACAAATTCAAAGTGACTCAATAATACTCAAGAGTTGAGATTTTGGCTTCTTCCATTTACATTGTACTTAAAGGTAATGGATATCAAGCATGTTAATCACTTAACACTACTAGGAGGGGGCAGGTTCTTCTTCCTTTCACTAAAACTACTGCTTGAAAGTAACCTCGGGAGGCAACACTGAGTAGACCTAATCGATTTCTCCTTCTCACGTCTGAAATCTCCATTTGGAGTTCTTTCACTACTACACACGGAGTTGGATCCCGAGACATAAGGGGTACCATTTGCCGATTTTTGAGAGAGGTCCAACGTAGCTACTGTACCTTCCCTCTTCACGTTCACCTCATTCTGGTTGATCAACATATGTCGACTGTCAACATCTTGGTCACCTCCAAAGCTATCACGAAAAAGTTCAGATAGTTTCTTCTTCTTCTCTGTTGGGGATGGTTCAGGTATGGAACCAGGTGCTCGGTCCTGGAGAAGGGCTCTATTGACTAGTGGTGTTCCCGTGGAAAAGTTGTGATGGACTGGAGTACTACCGCGAGATGGGGTAAAATCTGCATTTTACAAGATAGATAAACAGAATAAAATTTTGATGGTGCCAACAAAAAGTACGAAACAAAGAAGAAATACCAAGTGACATTCTACCACATTCTGCATTCTTCATAATATCAGTAGGGTGAAATTCACATTTCTACTGACATGGGGATGTCACATGCACAGGCACGCAAATTCAAGCTAGTAAAGGTTACCCAAAGTATTCTAGTGAATTCTTACCACCATTAACACTGAGGAAATCATCTTCACAGTCAGACTCTAACCAGGCTTGAGAATCAAAAAAGGTCTCATCTTTACTACCTGCAATAAGCAGGGAATATATCAAATCTAGGCATCAGACAGGTACAAAGAGTAGCTTCAGAATTTTAAGGAAAAATGCAACTAGATTAAAAGGAAAAAAATAACAATGAATTATGATCTGTGTATTCTGTGGCGTAGGTCTTGTAATTGTTTAATTTTATTTAAGTAAATTTAAATTGAAAAAATATAAATATACTTGACATGTATTACTTTTGTCCATTTAATTTCCATTCAGTACCTGGAGGACACCCTCATGCCTCAGTTATAACCATTCACCTGCAATAATAACTTATTGCAAGATCTAAGGTTTAGATAACAAAGAACATTTTCCTTCTTTTTTTTAAAAATAAAGAATTAAAAAAAAAAAAAAATTCGTTAAGTCACTTCCAAATTGCCAAAATCCAATTGCAAGAGACTAAAATAAATAATATGAGTCAGTCAAATATGACAGTTTAATTTAGTCAAAATAAAGAAAATGTAAAAGTTTGACTGATATGCGCAATCTACTATAAATGAATTTTGATACGAAATTTTGACCGTAAAATCCTCAAACGATCCTCTTCAACTGGTTAAAAGAACATCTAGATATTTCTGCAAAATCAAGGAAAAAATCAAAGAGCTCATAGCAGCTGGTGATGAGGTGCACAGCCTCAACATAAGTTTTTCCTACTAGAAATTGCCAAGCCAGCAAAATATTTCTAGAATTTTGTCAAATAACATTCCTTAGAAGCTCAGTCCAAATGGTGTAGGCATATGAGAAATAGCAGCAAAAGATTTGCTGGAACCCATTTAGGATTTCGAAAACTAAATTTTGTAGTGTATATTGCGCCCAAGAATTATCAATTACAGCAGTCGATATGAGAGCTGGAAAGGACGAATAATTGTATAATGGGCAGTTATCATGATAGGTAAACTAAAGGCTTAAGAGCCACTGGGATCTTGAGCTGCAAGGTTTGATTGAAATCAGTGTAAACAAGGAAGAAGCAAGACAACTAAAGGATTGACCAGCCATGGCCAAACCATTTATCCTATTAAATGATAATTTTGTCCATAGGGTGCACACCAGGAAAAATTAAGCATTGGATTGTCTTCTTATCTTTTAGCCTAATAACAGCTCCTTCAAGAATGGTTTGACATCTTCCCTCCTACGGTGTTGTCCCTCTACTCCAGCTTTGCATAAACAAAATGATTCTCTAGGATAGCTACCATTCAAAACTAGGCAGTGTTTGAAGAATAGACCATGTCAGAATCTGGGTGAATTGGATCAGGGTCTTAGAAAGCAATTATGATATCCTGACATGTTAGGGGTAGGGCACAAGTTATATGTGACTGAAGAGTTATATTGGTGGCTCAGTACTATCAGCCATGTATCGGGGTCATCTTATGACACCATGAAACAACTTGCAGGTCATAGGCAACACAATAAATGGTTTTTTGCTTTTTCCAAACTACATTTTTTCTCCACCGAAGGCACCAAAAAGCATTAAACGAAGTACTCTAATACCTTGCTAATGTGATAGTGTCTAAATTAACATTTTACACAACGTTATCCATGTCAGATGGATTGTTCAGTTTACTTTATAGATCCATCACATTATCTTGTCTTATAAAAAAATAAAAAAATCATCTTCTTTGAGACTTTTTGGACCTTGTACGTAGTCTATTGCTTGATAACAATCTGATAATAAGCCACAATCAAGTCACCTCAGTGTCCCTTGAAACAGTGATCCGTACTTCAATGTCAAACCACAAATCAAGGATGGATAGCCATCAATGCATATAATCATTGGATCCTTGCAAGGAATATTTTTCAAGGGGTTGGGCAATATTCACAAATGGATTGTATATATTAAACACAGAAAGAAGGAAGTCAGAGACATATATCTGTATGAACTGAAAATATCCCATCATAACAAAGAAGTACAAGAGAGAAGGCTTTTAAACAAATCTTGTCAACCCAGGGGCACTTAGCAATCAAAACTTAACATCATGTCGGATTCAAGTGAAAGCTTTGTTTTATGTCCTTTATGGATTATTAAAGTAAACCAAAATTTTCATCCCCCGACAGCACAAGGAATAGCAGTGCAGCAAATGAAAGAAATTGCAACCCATTTACATGCATGCGAGCAAGTAAGCAAGCGCACACATGACACACCCATGTGGCTTTGTAAACGGGGTGTTTAAACTCTTAATCAAAAATTTCTTTTACACAATAACCAAAATAATCAGAAGGAACACATGTAGCAAATATTTAGAGGACTTAATCTAATTATAAAACCATAAAAGGGTTAGACCAAAAAACTTCATAATTTGATGAAATGTAACCACATCTTTATTTCTAAAACAATGTAATGGAACCGATACATTATTTTAGGGTCATAAAATAAAGGAAGGAATTAATTGCCATTGTTGACTGTTGACAAAGTAACTAAGTGCTTATAGCTCTTCTTCTTTTTTTCAGAAAGTGTTAAAGGGAGTGCGTAAGGGTTCATACCGTTCATGACAATGTTACACGTCATGCTAGAAAGCCCCAAAGAGGTTGTGGCTGGTTGAAGGATGAAATAGAGTCTCGACAGGATAGAGGAAGGTAAAGGACACCATCCCAAGTCCATGGATTGGAATATTGGATTATTCCTTAGACAGGATGTTCCCTTATTTTGCAAGTGGAAGGGGTTTTAATGACCAAAGTCCTACATCTGAAAAACAACTAATGAGATGAGACACATGTCGAATATGTTGTCACTCCCAAGAAAGAACGTGTATTCCATTATCCTCTTTCCTACCATCTCCTCAAGTAGGCAAATACTTACTAGTGAACATTTGTGGGTATTAAGAAAACGGGCACACACAAGGACTCTAATTCGCGAGTCTTGGCCCAATTATCAATGGTGAGATCCTAGGGATGCCAAACTCAAATCACTTCCTTCTTGAAAACCCTCACGTGACGTGTCAAAAAATACCACGTTGCATAGCTGCCTATTTGGCTTCGATGTGGCAAATGATGGAACCTTATACCTCTAGAAAGAAGATCAAAATAAGTTGACAGTCTCACAAAGAATGGCTATATGTTGACAACTAATTGGGGACCAGGGGTGGGGGTAGAGGGACCATATAGGTGGTGTATGCATGTGTATGATAGAGATAGACAGAGAAATCTCTAACAACCATTACAGCATTGTGTCCATATCAGAAGTTGGCTTATGAGTTGTCCATCCTGTAAATTACGAAACATTCCTATAATCCAAGTTGTTATGAGTCATTTTTAAGAGAAATCTCTAACAAACATTACAGCATTGTGTCCATATCAGAAGTTGGCTTCTGAGTTGTCCATCCAAATGATCCTGTAAATTGTGAAACTTTCCTATAATCCAAGTTGTTATGAGTCATTTTCAAGATAATCAATCGAAATCCTTGTCAATGAATTTGAAAGCTGTTTTTTGAAAAGCTAAAAAGGATTCTACTGATAGTATTCAAGACATAACCGTATACATATTAGATGGGAACAGATTAGGCCATTCTCTAACCATGTCAACACTCCACACAATCTACACTGTGTAGCCAACCTTGTTATAAAGCAATAACCTCATTAGATCAATAGTCTAACATACATCTAATCAACAAATTTTTTAAGAAGGAAAAAATTGAAATAAGTATATAATTTTTTTTTTTTTTTTACTATATGAGAACCAAATTATGATTACAATACGTGTGTGTGTGTGTGTATCATCATCATCCTTGCCTTCATCTCCGTACCAACAAGGTCGGCCACTGTATATTAGATGCAATCATTTCATGCCAGGTTTTTTTTTTTTTTTGACAAGTAAAAATCATTTCATACCATTTTATGTGGGTTTCTCCAAATATTAAAACTTTCAACTCAGATATATGTGAAAACAATGGTGGAAATTCGTTTAAAATGATGTCAGAGAAGTATGGCATGATATTTTTTATGCAAAGGTAACTATAAAATTGATGATGAAAAAGAAAATACTGCATAAAACAAACATCTAAAACCCAAAAAACAAAAAAGAATGAAGAATCAAACCACCTAAAGCATAAGTCAAAAACAATTTATGTCAGAAAAGTCGCTCATCGAAAGCATACCCTTTTCATTGCAGACAGCAAAGATAAAACACACAAAAATAACAAATTGTAAAGAGCCAATGAAATTTACAGACAGACAATTCGATTTTTTGGACATAAAATTCAAATGAAGCAACCATTACAACAAATTAACAAATTTAATACTACCAAAGCATATTTAGATTCCAAGAATAGGGTCATACCAAGGTCAAAACTGGTCACTTGGTTCGACGGTGACCACTGAGATTTGAGACCAACTCCGGCGACCGGACGGTCAACACTGATGATGGGTTTGTCTTTGATCGGTGATGGAACCACAAGCTTTTCAGTTTTAGACCCAAATGACAATCGGAGCTTCATAATTGAATCTGAGTCTTTGTGAACTGAAACACAAGCACCCATCTCTCAAATAACTACTCTTATCATCACATAGATTAAAAAACAGAAAAGTATCTCTGCTTTGTGCAAACTTGTAGAGAGAGAGAGAGAGAGAGAGAGAAATTTAGAGAGAGAGAGAGTAAAGTAGTAGTGGAAGAAGAAGAAGAGACAAGTGTAGGGACGATTTTGGCATTGTGCTTAAAGAAGTGGAAAATTCTTGCGAAGCGAATTGAGACAGAGATAGAGAGAGAGAGTGGAGAGAGAGAGAGAGAGAGAGAAGGCCTTGAAAGCGAAGTTATTGTATTGCCACGGAGTGGGTCCCAAAAAATTTCTTTATCTTTATTAGGGTTTGAGTTCTGAGCGGTGAAACGGACCGTATAAAGCTGTCTTGAAAGGGGGTTGTGGTTTCCGTTTTCATGTACTCAGTGCTCTGCGATTGCAGGGGTGTTCAGTTTCTTGGGTTGTGTTTGGATGCTGAGAAAGTTAACTTACACTGGGAGGAAAAAACGTATGTGGGGCCACCCATACTTTAGTTAAGGCGTAAAGCACGTTATATTCACGTGGGCTCTACCTAAACAATTTTTAAGTGATATTTTTTTCCTGAATATATATATATATATATATATATATATTTTAAAGAGATATTTTCGTCTGAGGTTCTTAACCATGTTAATATTTTATTTAAATTTTATATTATTTTCTTGCAAATAATTCATACACCACCCTAATAATTCTGAGAGGTTAAATTTTTACTGGTGAAGAGACTACTAAACTATTATTCATATTAATCATTTATATTCATTTTTTGCAAAAAAAATAAGCAAAAGTTAAATGCATTCCCATACTCCAATTAGTAGATTATTAAGTTTTATATATTTTTTCTCGAAAGTTTAAGTTTTAAATTTAGATTTATCCTTTTGTAGTAAAAAAGATTTATCCTTTTGTAGTAAAAAATTCTCTCTGTTGTCTAGCATTGGATTTTTTTCCTTAAATTGGACATAGTGTTATTATTTTAACCCGGTCATTCTGAATCCTGAACCAGACATAATCTTTAAATAAATTAATTTTTGATTAGCAGAAAAAAAAATTGGAGAGATTTCATTGGACAGGGTAATATTTTTAATATTATTATATTATGATTATTATTTTCGTAATTAGAGGTATAATTTAATTATAAGTGGTTGTAGCATCCAGAAGCCCTCAATCCTGACCATAGGATCCACCTGCCCAACAACATTGACTAAACTATCATGACATCATAAACATACATTTAGCATGAGATGGCGCCATTGTTCATGTGTGAAATATGTGAGGTCATATCAGATTATATATAAAAATACTAAATTAATCTCCACCACCTCTCTGGTCAATGGAACCCATTATGTTAACTTTGAATCGTGGAACTTGTACCTTTGGGGAAAATTCCAGAATATAACGTCCTAATGTGTCGATATATATCACCTTTTTTTTATCTTCGACGACATGAGATTATTTTATTTTTAATTAATTATATACTAATTATTTTCAATGTTTTATGAGATGGGTTCGAGTCTAATGACGAAAACTTTGTATAAATAATATCAAATTTAACTTTTTATATATATATTTGTCATTGATAGTGGTGCCCACCCTTTTAAAATATCTCATAATCTACACCCGCCCGAACTGACTAGCATATATAATTTTTCATTGAAAAAAATTATGAGAGTAATTTCAAATGATTTAAACTTTTGATAATTTTTCTCAAAAACATAATTGCGCTAATAAAAATTCAAAAAATAAGTTGGACGAGGTTTTACTTTTGAATTGCATGACTTTGAATCAATCCTTACTTAGAATGAAACATATATTATGGGACCTACACGTGATTTGAAGAAATAAAAAATAAAAATAAAAATAAAAATAAAAAAACTACACGGGATTGGTGACTATCTTGACGCGGAGTTGGAAAATCGTAGCCAGACTCCTCCCTTTTGAAAAGGCACTGAATTATATGGGTGGCCGACATGAAAAAATCGCATGATAAAGACATGATAGTGGTGCAATATTTATCTTTTTGATTCATGGTTGAGATTGAGAGTTAGGATTAATCATTAGTAAACTACTGAGTAATTCTTTAGAATGGAATATAATAACTAACTAAAATTAAAATTAACGTGAAACGAAATTATTAAAAATAATTTTACAAAATTAACGTGAAGTTATTTGAAATAATTTTAAAATGTAAATATAGTGAGTGGATGATAGGCAATAGAAAATATATATATATATATATATATATATATAGGGATAGACAATTCATGTGCCCAATTTATGTTTAAGAAAAGCATAGTGATACTTACGTCAAAAATTTGTAGTGAATTAGATAACTGAAAAGTTTTTTTATTGGTTATTTTTGTTAAATACAAATAAGTGGATGACTTTATTTTTTTATTTGTTGTATAAATTACTAATTTAAAACAATAGGTATAATAATTCACTACAAGCAATCAGTGCAAGAATTATTTTTCATATCAAAATAAGAATGATAATGATGGTGATTTGTTGTATAAATAACTAATTAAAAATAAAAATAACAATTCATTACGAGTGATCAGTGCAAGAATTATTTTTTATATGGAAATAAGAACGATAATGATGGTGATTTGTTGTACTCACTTGTCCTATAATTCTTGACCTGTACGGGGAATCAAACTTTTTGTAGTAATGATGTTTTAATAGGTTTTTTTTTTTTAGTGTTTAGTCACAAGGATAACTTAAAAATGTTTATGTATTTAAAAAATTAAAATAAATAAATATATATATTGAATTGGATGAAATAGTATATAAAAAATATTTTTTCTGTCTTATATTAGTAGTTCATTATTTTATTTTTGCATGTCCCAAATTAATTATCCTCCTTAAAAAGTTAAAGCATCTTTCTTCTATATTTTTATTATTGTCTTTTATTTTTTAAAAAAAAAATTAAATTTTGTAATTATATATATTTAAATTAAAAAAATAATTTGATAATTTAAAAAAAAAATAATACATTAATTATGTATTCTTTCAAAAAATTTAATTTTTAAATATAAACCTCTATTATGGAAGTGAGGAAATACGAAACTTGTGTTGTCAAAACGAGTGGCGTCTGAACTCGGCCCGTATAATTTAAAAAATGTACAAATTCCAAGTAATCTACACACCAATAGAGATTTTTCACTTGTCAAATCAAGTACGCTTATCTATACTAGTAATATAGTTTGCGCCCTCGCAAACCACGTGTTCGTTACAAAAGACAAAATGGGGATCTGGTTGAGGATAAGAGTTAGGCTTAAGGAGAAAGTGATAGAATTAATCACTACTAAATTATATCTCTAAAATGGAACTGGGAAGATTCTACCCTCCATTTATTTATTTATTTATTTTTAATATACATTTTCTTTGCTCATTTGAAAATTAAAACTTTCGCAATTCATATTAAAAAATAGAAATACCACTTAACCAAAAAAACCTGATAGATTTTACTCATTGTTTTCATAACTAATTAAATTGAAATATTATTTGTTGTCATTGTTAATATAAATTAAGCTTGTGTTGTCAAAATAGGTGGTCCCTTATTAGGTATACTATTTGAATGCGACGTGGTAGGTAGCAGAAAAATCCTTGTTTTGGGATAAGCGATTGCCCCAAACCATCAATCCAATTCATTTGATTGAAAAAAGAAATCATAATAGTATCTGACGTGCATGAAAATTCAATTTCTGCACTAATATCTTTGAGGAATCGACTTCCAGTAGTGCTAAAAAATGAGATGGAGGACTGCATAAATAATTCACAATTAGAATTAAATTTTTCTTATTTTCTGAATAATTTTTAGACTATTTAGCGTCCCTATTAGAGGGCTTGGAATAATACCATAGTTACATAGAATTTGATTGATTTATCACTCATAAAATAGTATTTTTAAAACTTATAAAAAGTGAAAACTATGTTTTAGATATCAGTTTTCACAAACTATCGATCAAATAGATTTTTATATATTTTTTAATTTTCAATTATTAGAAAACATAAAATTATTCTCCCATGCAGAGCTATATAAAATAGAGTATTCATCATCGTCGTCCTTGTCTTTATTACATATAAAGGGGTCTACAAATACCATAAAAATATTCTTGAGTGTAATTGGTCCCTCGAAAAATAAAATAAAAAATTCTATGTATACATTTATTGTTCCTCCCAGATAGGGTTTGGTATATATCTTTTTCACAATTTAACCTTTTGGTTCTTTGTTGTCCCTTTAGTTGCTGGTCATTGCTTTTGCCCCGTTAGAGTTTGCTTGCTCTGGTCACTAAGGAAGCAATACACACCAGTGGGCTTTTCTTGTTTGTCACTTGTATCAACACTATATATATATATGTGTGTGTGTGCGCGCGCGCGCGCGCGTATTAAGTAAACATGGATGGATTAAGTATTGCTTCAAACCAGTCATCATAGGCCATGAGTCATGACATTGCATATGCAAAAGTCAATACCTACAATTATAAACAGAGGAATGGACTGATTACAGATTTAACTATTTATAGTACTATTTGTACACCATAATTGAAATTATACCAGATTCCACTGTTGCAGAGAAATGGACCTTCAGGACAGTTTCAACCAATTTTGCAGCATGTGTATTATGGGGTTCAGTACACACAAACACATATATATGTCTATATTCTATCATCTACGTATATAGTTTGTCAATACACAATTGCTTTTCTAAGTTCGATACGGTGTCACGATATTAACCGTTATTACAAACCATAATAACTATATTACAAATAGTATTATAGTTATATATATGCTCCTAACTCTAATTTTTTGGTTAGTAGCACATGCTCTTCATCCTACGACTAGAAGAACATGCTTTTATATATATAATTATATGTTATGATATATCTTTTTTGTATACGATTTTTAAAACATGACGCCCTTGTGAAGTTTTTGTGCGGATTTGTGCAAATTCTCCATAAATGGGGATTGACTCCAATATATTACCATGCATTTTTCACAAATTTTAAAATATGTGTATATAAGTAAGTGTCAATATAATTTCTCTCTTAGAATGTCACATTCATAGTAAATATTAAGGTTAAAAAAAAAAAAAAAAACCATAAAAGCCAGTGACGAAATGTAGTTGAGGTATGTGGAAGTGCAATGCAGCTGCGCTGACTGACAAACTTGAGACCCTGTAAGCAATGAATAACAAAAGTAAATAATAAT